TGGTCCTCCTCGTCGGCGGGGCTGTCCAGCTCCTCATCCTCGAAGCTCTCGGCGGCTGCAGCGGCGGCGATAGCAGCGGCGGCGGCGGGGCCCGTCCCGGCGGGCAGCACGGCGGCGGCAGAAGCCGGAGGCCCCGGCGGGAGCGCGGGAGAAACCAGCGCGGCGACGCTCATGGCGAGCGGAAACGCCGACCCACCGCCGCCGAAGCCACCGCGGACGATCCGGTCGCCTCCTCCTCCTCCTTTTTCTTCTTCTTAACTCCCCCCTCAGACAAGCCGCGAGCGGCCCCGCCTCCCGCGCGCAGGCGCGCTAGAACCACTTCCGGGTGGCAGGGTTTTGAGCTCTAAGGCCAACTCTAAAGCAAGTTTTTGCTCTAAGGCATTTGTTTTTATCTTCTATTTTACTTCTTAACTCCTTTTAGTGCTTCGTTTTGTTGTTTTAATTTATTGTTTTATCTCATTGTTTTATTGTTCTAATTCGGAAGCGGCGTCTCTTCCTCTCGAGGCTGGACGAGGTAAGACGCATTTGCCGGAGTTCATTTCGAATCCTCCCTAAAATTTGTGCTGCGGCTCCCAGCCTTTCAAGTTTTTGATGAAGATTGTATCAGGTTGTTGGAGCCCATGCCAGGAGTTCACATTGCTAAGAACTGTAAAGCCCGCATCGTAAATCAGCTTTAATGAGCAGATAATTGCAGTCTCCGGCAGCCTTGGAAGCAGCCTTCGACTTACTGGTTTTCTGCTAGCTCACATCCAGCTGTATTTTTACTTCTACTACCTTTTATTATCTTTTAAGCACTGCTATTTTAAAAGACTCATAATGATGGGCCAAGGCAAACGCCTAAGGGATTGTGACGAGACTCTGCCCTCCCCAAGAGCCAAACAATTAAAAATCGATCCCCCCGTGTCTGACAAACGGAGTGACCCCATTGAACTCTGCTATAGGGTGAAAACTCAGAACCGTTTCTACCCTCTAATGTCTCCAGAAACAACGTCAACACCAGAGGAATTATTTTTCCCCCCAGACTAAAACTGTGGACGGCAAGCTTGGAGGAAGAGGGAGTGTCCCATTGAGGGTGGTGCAGGACGCTGGAACTGAGGACTGCGCAAGACAAGAACAACATGAACATCTCCATCTTGTGGTCAGAACCCTTAATTGCATATTCAAGAAGATTGATGTGCTAGCCTCCCAGCTATGTAACCTCGAACAGAAAATGGATAACTTCTGGTCAAAGTTCAAACCAACTGTAGATACGGGGAATTGAAGTGCCAGAGGTCCTTGCCTACTACTAACAAAAAGAAGTGTGATCCCTAAATATAAACCAAATCCTGCACTGAAACATCAAGCATTGTCCCTGCAACCTAAGAAAATCTGCCTAAACATCGGGGCAGGGTCACCAAGGTGGCTTACTCTGAGTGGGGTTAAAAGCACCTAAGCAATCTCCTAAACATAGAAATCTCACAATGTGATCTCATTGCAGTATTACCTTTGAACCAGCACCTCGGGCAACAGAAAGTGATGCTTGCGTTTTACTCTCCAAGGATCCCTTCAGCTATCATCAGGCAGAAACCACTCTTGGCAAGGTACGATATCATCCCAACAAGAGTTTTTATGGATAGCATGATCCACCCCCTCCTACTTGCTGGTCACGGTACGGAGTGGACTCTGTCGGAGAGGTCGGGAGTACCTCGGGACATCGAGCCTCCTCTTCTGGAGGATATCCATCCGCACCGAAACTGGACTCACCCTACGTCCCCACGAGCTCTAAAGAAACCCACTGGCGCAAGTAATTCTCTGACCCCGCCGGAGGAAAGAGAGCTTTAGCCACTTTTGGCGACCTTCCACCGAGAGAACAACAAGAAATAATTGATAGACTAGAAGTACTTAATCATCAGCTCATACACGTCCAGAAGAACGGAAAAGTCCTGCCCACTCTTCAGGATAACTCCGCCAGCTTTTCGGAGTCGTGGTTTAAGGGAGCAGGAAGTCTTCCATACCTTAGTCCAGCTCCTAAACCCATGCCTCCCCACTCGTGGGCAAAACCCACCGATGCTTGGTAGAACCAGGTTTTGCCCCTCAAGCTGGCCCCTCATCCCAACTCTTGATAAATTTTGACTCGCCCTCCAAGAGTCCCCCGCTGAGGAGTGTAACCCAGAGTTCCTTCCACCAAAACAACTCCTTACCATCTAATCCATCAATGCCGGAACTGGAGTCCTCATACTCCCTGAGCAGCATAGACCCGACATACATACGGTACCAGTACGCCGAACATCCCCTGTACCTTTGCCAGCATTAGGTCAGGAGAGTGTCCCACCTACATCAAAAAATGGCCCGGATTTGATTGAAGACCCGACCGGACATATAAACCAAATGGTTTCATCGGCGATCTTTAGACCTTGCGATGGGGCAGTCCCAGCAAATCCTATGGAGTTTCCCACTGAAGTGTCCGCTCTTGGGTTAGCCAGTGGGAGACCCGTTTTGTCGCCCCAGTCAGAATACCTCACTACCAACTTCAAGACTAGGTACCTTCAGCAGGTGCCTGCTATGCAAAGTAAAATAACTGACTTTTTGTGGGGTCTGCCTTCCCTCCAAAGGACTCCCATCCCTCCCCGAAATGACAACGAACTGGTTACAACAGGAACTCCCCCCTATCAGTCCTCAGTTGGAACATTGCGGGCTGGAGGGGGAAAAAACTTGACCCAGAATTCTTGGAGTATATTAACCTGTTTCATATCATCTTGTTCCAAGAATCGTGGGAAGTAGAGAGAATTGATCTAAATGGCTTTGAGCTTCTAGAACTCCCTGCCTGCCCCTCCCTGAAAGGAGGCCGCCCTAAAGGGGGCCTAATAATAGGCATCTCCCTCAACTTACATTCTAAATTTACTCTAGTACAGGCCTTGCCTCCTTACGCTCTTACCGGGCTGATTGCGGGGGAAAAGATCTCACTTCTAGTTACAAATGTTTACTTGCCACCCGGGGGTTCTTCCTCTGAACTGGGCTCTAAATGGGGCTCGCTAGAAGAGCATTTGCTCTCATGCTATGTCAAGTTTCCTAACACCCCGGCCATAATAGGTGGCGATTTTAATGCCCGCACAGCAGCAAATTGGGACTCGCTGACCAAAGCCAAATGGTGGGTTACCCCAAACCTTGATAATTATGATCTGGAACATATCATGAGGAGAACTTCTAAAGACCAACGAGTTAATGAGGCTGGAGTATTCCTCTACCAAATGGCCATCCGTTTAAATCTGGTCCCCCTAAATGGCACATGCCTCCCTGATATTCCAGGGGATTTCACTCACCTGAGTGTTAAATCAAACAGCGTCCTCGATTACCTGCTGGTCTCCAGTGATCTACTTAAGTGTATTTCCTCCTTTAAGATCGAGAATGTACAATCTAGTGATCATCTTCCCCTTGTAGCCAAGCTTTCCCTGAATTGGCAGTTGGAGACCTATAGACATGCGACCCAGATGGTAACCAACGTATCTCTTCAAGTAAGAGGAATCAAATGGTCGGAGACCCAGGCTCAAAGGTATCAGGAATTCTTTCAAAAGAAATCCTCGGGCCCCATCCCTACATAGGCTCTGCCTCAGATGAGCATAGCATAGTGTTGAAACGCTTCCACCATCATACGACGGACCTTACGTCCTTCTTCAGGTTACCACCCAAAATATTAAATCGAAACGAGTATACTTACGGTGCCCCCTGGTATAACTCTCAGTGCAAACAAGCAAGACAGCGCCTTCGTGCTATATATAATGTATATAAGACCTCCGATGCATCTACTCTGCCAGCTAGTTATGCACAAGCCAAGCAAGTTTATAAACGCACGCAGAAAATTGCCAAACGTGAGTGGCAACATAATCGCTGGCAGGCCTTGATTACTGCTTCAAAATCACATAGATCCAGGGAATTCTGGTCTCTGATTAACAGAAGGGTGAGGAAATACCCAAGGGCAGTCATCCCTGCACCGACATGGGAATTGTTCCTGAAGAAATGTTTCTCACAGGCAGATGCTCCCTCCGACCATCTGATGCATCTGTTCTCCCACCTACCTATTTGGCCTCCCACCGATCCTGACGAAATAGCCAAGCTAATAGCCCAGCTGAAATTGGGCAAAGCCCCAGGGCCCGACCTGATCCCTGCTGAAGCCATCAAACTACACCCAAAATGGTGGGCTGGCATCTTGGCCAAAACCTTCGACGCAATCAACGCTTCTGGTATCATCCCCAAAATATGGAAGGAGGCCATTATAGTACCAATTCATAAAAAGGTTCTCCAATGGAGCCGGAAAATTACCGTAACATCAGCCTCCTTTCGATCATAGGGAAAATTTATGCCAGCTTTTTGCTGACGAAACTATCGCGATGGGTAGATGAGACTAACCAGATTGGCCACGAACAAGCAGGGTTCAGAATTAAACGCTCTACAACTGATCATGCGATAGTTCTTTACCATCTGGCACGGAAGTACTCCTCCCCTCCCCGGGCTATCTGTGTGCTGCCTTCTTAGATCTTAAGGCAGCCTTCGACAGCGTTCCTAGAAATATTCTTTGGGAGAAACTTGCGAAACAGGGCATCGATAGAAGGCTCTTATGGCTTATAAGTCAGCTCCACGAAGGTACCCTTGCCAGAGTGAGACTTACTCCTGCGGGCGACCTCACAAATTCGATACCAATAAACAAGGGAGTGCGCCAAGGATGTATATTGGCCCCCTGCCTATTCAATCTATTCATCAGCGACATGCGAGCACCCCTAGTCAACTCATCTCCAAGTACACATGCGCCTAGACTAGCGGATTACCGCTGTCCACTCCTTTTATATGCGGACGACGCGGTAATTCTATCTTATACACGTGTTGGACTAACCAGAGCTCTGAAGATCTTTGCCACGTATTGTCAACTCAACCAATTAACCATCAATCATGCTAAATCTAAGATTCTGATTTTCGCCAGAAGTCGGAGATTATACGAATGGAAGCTTGGTGGAGCAAAAATAGAGCAAGTCCTAAAATTTCAATACCTAGGAGTTATTTTTCAATACAATTTGGGGTGGAAAGCACATATTCAACACCTACTTAATAAGGCCAAAACTCTGTCATATGCGCTCCTCCGATTTTTCTTTTCGGATGGAGCTTTGCATGTTCCCTCGGCCCTAAAGGTGTTCAAGGCAAAAGTGGTTCCCGTGCTTGCTTATGCTGCCCCGCTCTGGGTCGTGATGACAGACCTTGCTCCTCTTGAGACTTTGCAAAACCAATTCCTACGTCGGCTCCTAATGCTCCCCTGTGCGTAAGCAACGCAGCCATGCGTTTAGAATTGAGGATCGCATCCTTAGAAACCTGCCTGTGGAAGCAAGTCTTCAATTATTGGTTATCATTGTGGCATAGATTACCAGACCATTACCTTGCCCAATGCTTATGGCGAGATGAATTCCCCAGCCTTTGGACCAGTAGAATTCATGCCAAACTCCTGAGCTATGGAATCTCTCCCTTAGATTCCCTAAAACTAGATCAAATCACTGCTCAAAGACTGATCCGCCAAAGACTGGATGACATCGATTTACAGCAAAATTATATGCTGGGGGGAGGTGTTTGTTCGCCCCAGAACATTGGTATCACTTTAACTTATTGCGTTCCATCATACCTCTCCTCCCTTTCGACTGTTGCCCATAGGCTGGCCTTCACCAAAGCGAGGTTTAATGTTTTCCCTCCAATGTCCTGAGACATAGATTCTCAAAGGGCCAAACCTCCGCCATGTGCGAATGTGATAAGGAGATGCCGGAGTCGCTTCAGCACATTATGTTCACTTGCCCCTTATTTAAGGTGCCACGGGCAAACTTGTTGGGATCAATCATACAGAAATTAGAGGGTACTCCACCAAAATTCCACCTTGCCCAAATCTTGCAGGATAAGGATGCCCATACGACCCTGAAAGTGGCTAGGTTCCTGGTCGCTGTCCTTACCCAAAAGCGTTGCCAAGGAGCACCACAAGCTAATTAAGGCGTAGTATGCCATTCCATCTTATAGTAGCTTATTGTTATAGTAGTGTTTTAGCGGCTGTTTTTTTCCCATGTGCACAGGCTGTTATTTATGTCTTGTTTTTATCTGTATGGGCCTACGGCCGTAATAAATTATTATTATTATTATTATTATTATTATTAAGAGAGTTGTTATAACATGATCTACCAACGGTATCTTACATGTTGGAAAAATAAAAATATACATAGACAGAAGGTAAATGTTGATCTTGCTCCAAAAGCAAAGGGAACTTTATTCAGTTGTGGATATGTGGGAAAAAGAGATGATTTTGGAAAATCTTTATAGATATTGTTTAATATTTGAAACCGTTTAATATTTAAAACTAAACTAATCAGTCAACTGATTGTCATCTAGAGCAACTTCCTTTGGTCTGAAAGCATGTCTTCAATCGGGATTGGTGCTGGAAGTGTATCTTTGAAGAGGCTAAATCTCTTTAACTGATGTGCAGTTGATTGTTTGTTTGAGGGGAGCTCCTTTGAAGCATCTGCAGTGGAGAAAATATTCCTTTAAAAAAATGGAAACAAATCTTTCCAAAGGAAGCTTGGAAGTCTGGTAAATTTTATGAGCCACTTTGCTAAATATACTAAATATATAAAAAATACTTTTAAGAAGACTAAGATAATATCAAAACACAGAGTATACTGTAAACAATTGTTTTATTTATTTCCCCCAACAATTATGACATTTAAGTTTAAAAAGCAGATTCACTTTACAGATAGGAAAAAATGTAAAATGCAGCGGCTACAAGCAAAAGCAGCGTTGAGTTGGATGAGAGCCCTACATATAAATATTATTTAATTGAAATCAGAATTAATTTAAAATTGCCCAAACTTCCACTGCAAAAGGAACTTAATTCACCTGGAAATTATAGGAACTACTTTCAGGTGTAAATATTAGATTTTTGAATTCAGTGAATTAGTTAATCTAAATTAGTTCATCGCAAGCCCTGCTCATATCTGAGAACTGAAAAGCCAGTTAATGTATGTAGTGCTTAACAAACAGTATACTTTATTGGCAAGTGCTGAAGTTATGCAGTAACCATTTCAGTATAGTTAATGCAGGAACTACACATGAATGAAATATAGGGTAATTTCAAGAGAATATCTTGTTCTGTCAGCTGACTTCCAGCTTCTGAACACAATGACTTGGATCCGAAGATCCACACAATTAGTTCTGCATGTCTCAGCAAACTTGGGGGTTATTTTTCCTCAAAGATCAGTCACCCTTTTCACAGCACTGGGTAAATTACATGAAGCTGAAGGGACTCTCGAAAGCTGTTTGATATGGCTGAGGAGTCTGCTACTAAAAAAGAGAGAGGTCAAATATAATTCTGGATGTGCCCAAGCTGTTTGACCTGCTTAAAGTAGTTATTTGGATAGAATAGTAGAATTGTAGAGTTGGAAGGGATCCCAAGGGTCATCTAGTCCAACCCCCTGCAATGCAGGAATCTCTACCAAAGCATCCATGCTAGATGGCCACCCAACCTCTGCTTAAAAAACTCCAAGGAAGGAGAGTCCACCACCTCCCGAGGGAGACTGTTCCACTGTCAAACAGCTCTTAATGTCAGAAAGTTTCCTTATGTTTACCTGAAATCTCCTTTCCTGCAACTTGAAGCCTTTGGTTTGAGTCCTACCTTCCAGAAAGGGGGAAAGCAAGCTTGCTCCATTGTCCATGTGACAGCCCTTCCGATATTTGAAGATGGCTTTGAAGATATTTGAAGATGGACTCAACTTATGTTCTCACATTTTGGTTTACTATACACTTAGTACCAAATCAGCCTATTAGACAGTGCTATAGTTGAATGGTGATAGTACAGAGCATGTCATAATGCAGTGTGTCTCAAAATTTGGTCCCCCGCAGTTGTTGGACTACAACTTCCATCATCCCTAGGGATGATAAGAGTTGTAGTCCAACAACAGCTGGAGTTTGAGAAATAGTGACATAACGTTCCCTTTGTGTTTTTTTCTGAACCAAATTGTCAACGATTCTAAGTAGTTAGCAGTGTAGTAAAAGGACAGGATTAACATGTATGTAAACAGAAAATTTAGCTTACGCTAGGGATGAGGTATGTCATCTTTTTCACTTTGTATGTTTAAGCAAACTGATCTAATTTGCATTTCTCAAACATGGATTGGAATGCAGTTTTCCTTCAGAATTTTGAGGTACAACTACACTCAGCTCAAAAAAGTTCAAAAATGCATAAAGCAACTATTTTGGAGTAAGATATGTCTAGAAATTGATATATTGAGATGATAGATATTTAAATATGACTGTTCATGTGGACTTCAAAATATCATTGCAGCTAAATGCAGAAAAGGTACTGAACAGATTTACGATTGAGCATATGCAAAATTGACAGAGACTGGAAATAGACTGATCCAGTCATCCATATTTGCCCCTTGAGCTAGAGGAGGTGAACAGAATTGGCAGTTATAGAATATGTTGGATGAGGGAAACAGATGCTAGAAGTAAGATTGTCTGTTAGGTTAAGAGTAGAAAATACAGTCGTACCTTGGTTTTCAAACAGCTTAGTTCTCGAATGTTTTGGCTCCTGCCAAATGCTGCAAACCTGGAAGTGACTGTTCCAGTTTGTGAACTATTTTTGAAAGCTGACCAGCGGGGGGGGCGTCCACGGCTTCTGATTGGCTGCAGGATCGGCCTGCAGCCAATCAGAAGCCACGCTTTGGTTTCTGAATGTTTTGGAAGTCGTACGGATTCCGTTCAACTTTCGAGGTACGACTGTACATTCATCTGATTATTCTGTGTTCAAGTGGAAATTTTGGTTGGCTAGTAAAACTTGCATCATTTAGCTACTGAATGTGATATGTGATATGGAACAGGAATCATTTCAGCAATGAGATACTATCAAAAGTAACTGACTGAAATATAAACCTACCCAAATTTTGGTATACCTTTTTGTATGCTAAAAGACTGATACCCTGCTTCTTGTTTTAGGTACAGTTAACAATGAAGTAATTCCAATGAATTACTGACACATTTAGAGATCAGTCATGTTATGAACATTTTAGTTGGGCCTTCTAGCATTCATTGATACTTTCTTATGAAAAATCCCTAAAAGCTATTTAGCCACAATAATATGTAAATTAATGTTGGCATTTAAAAAAATAATTTTGGAGTGAATGAGCCTGATAGGATTCTTTTTGTAACAACTACTGAAATGTCATCTATTTGCATCTATTTAACTATTGGCTTTCCCCTTAGAGGCCTTCTAAATGAATGTTTTAACTTAGTGTGTCTATCTGACATGTACGGCTGTTTGATGTCAGATTGTTAAAGCTGACGATGAAACATTTTCAGACTTAATTTGCAGAAGGTGAATTCCACTTTGTGAGGTGGTTTGAACTGAATGTTGGATACAAAATGTGACTACCACTTGGTGGCAGTGCCTTGCTTCAAGACACAAGTCTTCATTAACATTTTAATTCTGGAACTGAGTGATTTGTGCAAGGGGGAGTTAGATGTAGGTTAAAATAAAACCAATATATATGTTAAAAGTGCAGAATTCTGTGAATTCAGAGATGGCCTTGAACATGTAGCATCATGGCCACACACATACACAAACCCCAGTTCTAGCTATAATGGAATTTGTGGCTTATCTGACTTGGTAGTCCACCTCGTATGCTTTCCAGGTGTGGTATCTGACTAAATAGAACTATCTGAAGAAACAGCACCCCACCCCCCTGCTGCCCAGAACTGCCATGATAAGGAACTGGTTCATGTTCCACAAAGACTTAATAATCAGCATGGTCATTTCTGCTAGTGCTTTACTATCATTAGATGGACAAGTTTTTGGAAGTTGCTTAGAGGTGTGTTTTTTAAAGAAATATAACAATCAAGTAGTATATAACTTTTTAAAAATAAATGAATTAAATAAAATTGGGAAGCATGTAGTCTGGGTATGTCTGGCAAATGAGGCTTAAAAGTAACCTACCAGAACATTCCTACCTCTTTTTCTGATTTTCCATTTCTGATTAAACGTTTAGAGAGAAATCGTTATTTGCATATGCAGGAAGTTTGGGTTGTTTGCATCTGCAGGAAGGGCTGCTTTCCTAGTGGTAACAGGCAAAATCACATCTGCAATAAGTTTTCAGTACCCCTCCCTCCTTTGGGAAGCCAGTTTGTGATCAGTATTGTAGTACAGCACTAACTAAAAGCAGTTCTCATGTTCTTTTCCCCTATTCTTTGCAGTGGCTGTTTCACAAGAAACATTTAATTTGGACATGGCGGTAGTAGAACTGATAAGTCCATAAAAGTTATAAGCATTCCCTACCACCACCAAAATAACCCCCACCTACTTGTCTGTTGAGGGATCACAAAGATACTTCACATTTTCCCCTTGCCTGTTGCTGATTAGCACCAACATTTAGCATCTTTGGGCAGCTGTCAGGGTTGCAGCATGCCGGCAGGGTTTTATAATTCTGCATGCTCTGCCCTCTGACTGAGAAGAACTTGGTGGCTGGGTCAAGCTACTAGTAAAATTTCTCACAGCACCTCTATGTAGCATCAGTCTGGGACTATGTGGAAATCTAAAATGGCAGCCTAGCCAATCAACTCTGCTACAGTGGTGCCTCGCAAGACGAAATTAATTCGTTCCGCAAGTTTTTTCTTCTTGCGAGTTTTTCGTCTTGCGATGCACGGTTTCCCATAGGAATGCATTGAAAATCAATTAATGCGTTCCTAGGGAGACCGACTTCAGACCAGGTCCGGGGACAGTCTGTCCCCGACCTCTTCTGAAGGCTGGGGGGGGGGCCAAGGGCTTTACGTCCCACCCCCAGCATTTTCAAAACCCCCGGGACCCCGGATGGCTTCTCCGCTGTCCGGGGCGATCTTAAAATGCTGGCGGGCTGCATTTTAAAATTGCCCCGGGACAGCGGAGGACTTCTCCGCTGTCCGGGGCAATTTAAAGCCCCTGGGAAGGCAGGCAGGGGGACAAAGACTTTGCCCCCGCCAGCCTTCAGAAGAGGTCCTGGACCTCTTCTGAAGGTTGGCGGGGCGAAGTCTTTGTCCCCACCTGCCTTCAAAAGCTGTCCAGCCAAGGCTTCGCGGACCTCTCCGCAAGCAGCGGCAGCACTGCCGCTGCTTGCGGAGAGTTGCCGGCATGCCGAAGCCTGCGCGCGCTGAGATCAGCGCGCCCAGGCTTCGCGGACCTCTCCGCGAGCAGCGGCAGCGCTGCCGCTGCTCGCGGAGAGTTGCCGGCATGCCGAAGCCTGCGCGCGCTGAGATCAGCGCGCCCAGGCTTCGCGGACCTCTCCGCGAGCAGCGGCAGCGCTGCCGCTGCTCGCGGAGAGTTGCCGGCATGCCGAAGCCTGCGCGCGCTGAGATCAGCGCGCCCAGGCTCGCGGACCTCTCCGCGAGCAGCGGCAGCGCTGCCGCTGCTCGCGGAGAGTTGCCGGCATGCCGAAGCCTGCGCGCGCTGAGATCAGCGCGCCCAGGCTCGCGGACCTCTCCGCGAGCAGCGGCAGCGCTGCCGCTGCTCGCGGAGAGTTGCCGGCATGCCGAAGCCTGCGCGCGCTGAGATCAGCGCGCCCAGGCTCCGCGGACCTCTCCGCGAGCAGCGGCAGCGCTGCCGCTGCTCGCGGAGAGTTGCCGGCATGCCGAAGCCTGGGCGCGCTGAGATCAGCGCGCCCAGGCTCCGCGGACCTCTCCGCGAGCAGCGGCAGCGCTGCCGCTGCTCGCGGAGAGTTGCCGGCATGCCGAAGCCTGCGCGCGCTGAGATCAGCGCGCCCAGGCTCCGCGGACCTCTCCGCGAGCAGCGGCAGCGCTGCCGCTGCTCGCGGAGAGTTGCCGGCATGCCGAAGCCTGCGCGCGCTGAGATCAGCGCGCCCAGGCTTCGCGGACCTCTCCGCGAGCAGCGGCAGCGCTGCCGCTGCTCGCGGAGAGTTGCCGGCATGCCGAAGCCTGCGCGCGCTGAGATCAGCGCGCCCAGGCTCCGCGGACCTCTCCGCGAGCAGCGGCCGCGCTGCCGCTGCTCGCGGAGAGTTGCCGGCATGCCGAAGCCTGCGCGCGCTGAGATCAGCGCGCCCAGGCTCCGCGGACCTCTCCGCGAGCAGCGGCAGCGCTGCCGCTGCTCGCGGAGAGTTGCCGGCATGCCGAAGCCTGGGCGCGCTGAGATCAGCGCGCCCAGGCTTCAGCGGACCTCTCCGCGAGCAGCGGCCAGCGCTGCCGCTGCTCGCGGAGAGTTGCCGGCATGCCGGAAGCCTGGCGCGCTGAGATCAGCGCGCCCAGGCTTCAGCGGACCTCTCCGCGAGCAGCGGCAGCGCTGCCGCTGCTCGCGGAGAGTTGCCGGCATGCCGAAGCCTGCGCGCGCTGAGATCAGCGCGCCCAGGCTTCGCGGACCGGAGATTTCCCTATGGGCTTTCGTCTTGCGAAGCAAGCCCCTAGGAAATTCGTTACTGCGAGCGCCTCCAAAACGGAAAACCCTTTCGTCTAGCGGGTTTTCGTCTTGCGGCGTTCGTCTTGCGGGGCACCACTG